TCTCCCAGTCTTTCTCTTGATTGGGGAATTGAAGCCATTGATATTGATGGTTATAACTGATATGTACTGACTTGTCATTGTCACGTTATTGTCCTGTTGTTGGCTCTTTCAAATTCTTCCCCCTCTCCATTTAGTTTCTTGCCTTGCCTAATTGATTTACTCTTTTGGGCTTCATGGTGCTGTGTCCTTCGTTGTCTTTTTCTAGGATATTGTTTAGAATTGTTTGTAGTTCTGGTTTTGTATTCATGAATTTTCTCAGGTGTTCTTTGTCATGAAGTATCTTATTTCCCCAACCAATTTGAAAGGGAGTTTTGCAGGATACATTTGCCTAAATTGGAGGTTGTTTTCTTTTAGAGTTTAAAATACCTCACTGCAGGCTCTCCTTGACCTGAGGGTTTGTGTTGAAAAGTCTGCTGTGATTCTGATGGGCTTTCCTTTGCATGTGATTTGTTTCTTTTCCCTTACTGTTTGCAGCATTCTGTTCTTCTGTTGGGTTTCTGAGATCTTGACTATTATATGTCTCTGTGTAGATTTTTTTTTTATCATGGCTAGTTGGAGTCCTATATGCCTCACTTGTCTGTATTTTTAATTCTTCTCCTTTGTCTGGGAAGTTTCTGTCATTAATTCTGTGAACAACTTTTTAAGTCATTTGTATATTCTCCTGCTACTTCATGGATTCCTATCAGTCTTATGTTATTCTTCTTTGCATCATCTAGAAGCTGTTGGATCTATTTCTCATGATCCTTTACTGTTTTTAAGAGATCTCTCTTTTCACGGTCACTGACTGCAATCCTATCTTCTATAACTGAGATTCTATCTTCACATTCATTTATTTTGCTGCAAAAACTTTCGATAGAGTTTTTAATCTCCTGGATATCTGTTTGAATCTGTTTCATGTTTTCCATTTCGTTCTTATGCTGGGCCTTCATAGCTTCTATCATGCTCCTTAGCTCATCTATTTGTCAATTTCTGTTCTAGAGTCTCGAATCATGTCTTTCATTGTGCTCACCATCTCTGTAGTTATCTAGGAAATTATTTCTGTTTTGAATTTTTCTAGAGCCTGATTGATCTGTTTTGTTCCTTCCTGTGCTATGAGTTCAGGGTTTTTCAGTGGTTGACTGTCAGACATTTCCACCTCATTTTCCCTACTGTTTGCCATTGGTGAACTGGAAGTCTGTCTTTATGTCTTGCTTAAGTGTTTTCTCATTTTTATTTCTGTTATTGGGCTGTCCTTGGTTTAATTCCTTGGGTAATAATTTGATGTTCCTGTATAGTTGTGCTTTAGCTTTTCAGTCTCTAATGACTGATAGACACTCTCATTTTCAGAATATCAGAAAGGACAACTCATTAAATCAGTCACAACCTTTTAGCCCAATTGATATGATCAGCAACACAGTAGCATCAAGCACAGCTTAGAAATTGATCATCTGTGGTAGTTATTAATCTGTCACCTTTAAACCATGTGAATTAAACCAAAATCAAGGAGCACCCCAAAATATGTTGATAGTGAATAAACTCTTCAATATAGTGACTTTATGCTTTAGGATGAAGACTTAGACAGAGTTATGATGAGAGGAATAAATAGGCAGTAGTATTGGAAAAGGTTTCAAGTGAAGCCAGAGGACACAGGACGACCACACAAACTTTAGGAAACTGTTGAAGACAAGAGGGAAATACAGAGTACAAGAACAATGACAAGAATAGAACAATTTAACAGTAATGGGGACTCACTTTCCTTTGAAACTGGTGACCCTTGAGTGAAGGAAAAAGAAAGATGGAAAGAAAAGAAAGAAAGAAGAAAAATCAATAAAGAAGAAATCCGATTTATGGCAGGAACTGGAACAGAAAGGGACATGAAGAATAATATGGGGGAGCAAGAAACTGAGTGGGAAAAAGAAGACAGAAAAAAGAAATAATTTGCAGAATGGAATGAGGAAAAGAAAGAAAAAAAAGAATCTGAAGAGCCTCTTTCAAGTTATATCTCTGCTGTCAAAATAGATAATGTACACAGCAGTGTGCAGAACTAAGTCATTTAATCTCAGCTAGCCAGTGGCAGACCCCTGAGATTCAGGCTAACTTCAGGCTGCAGGGCCCAAATTGAGCTCCCTGACCTCCTGCAGAGTTGAACTCTGCAAGGTTCTCTTTGCCCTTTCTCTGAAGATAGTCAAAGTTTTGATGGAAGGTTGTGATCCTTTCAACTTACCAACTATGGTGGTCTGATGTGCCTTTATTGCAGTTGTTCACTTCTGTTCTATCTTCTGGAGCTCAGTAAAATGACCTTTATGACCACCTGTGTCTCTGCAGAGTCGATACAGGAACTGGCACAATCAGAAGGCCAGGGGGCAAGGGGACAGTATGTTTCAGAGGCACCCGCGCAGCTCACCTGTCCTCACCAGTCTGCTCAATGCAGGCCAGAGCAAGGGCTCATGGTTTTGATTTGCATGCCCCTAATGATTAGTGAGATTGGGCACTTTTAAGTATATTTTTAGGCCTTTTTTATATCTCCTTTTAAAAGATTATTTGTTCAGATCTTCAGACCATTTTAAGTGCACTATTTGTGGTGTTTTGTGTACATATATTTTTGTGGTACTAGAGATTGAGCCCAGGTCTTGCACATACTAAGCAAGCACTTTAGCTCTGAGTTATATCATTATCCCAGTGTATACCAGCTTTAAGTGTGTGTCACAGATAGATGAGTGCTAAATATCTGGATGTCTGTTGGGGAAGGTTACTGGTCTAGACATCCCAGTTTTAGCGATGTCCATATGGGTAGAAAGAAGAGCCAAACAGAAAATCATTATGTCTGGTCAAGGATGGTAGGAGTTTTGAAAAAGGATTTCCAGCAAGGAGACTGTGGGAGGTAAACTGTCCTGTGAAAGATGGTGTATCAGGAAGAATATTATGAAACATCTTTTGGAAGTTTCCAAAGGAAACCTGGGGTGGCAGTATATTTTGGGAGAGATCATGTGTTTAAGGGGAACATCATTATAAATATAACTAGGGGTTATATTTAGAGCCTGCACATATAAAGAGAAGGAAACCATTAGGTCAATTGTTTCTGGAACTGGGGTATTTGAATAAAACAACAGGAAGCACATAATTCTGGAGAAGGTGGTACAAATTTATAGAGTCACCCCTTGAATAAAATTTTTGCACAGATACTGTCTCCTGAAGCCAGAAGCATGAAACTTGTTTATCTGGGTGTGGTAACAAAATAGTGGCACAAATGTATTCTCTTCTTCATGTTCCCTACTTAAACAGAGGTGTGGAATGCTGACAGTAGCCACATTTGAAAGACAGTATAAACCAGAGAAGTTTTTTTTCTAAAGAGAACAGAGATAGAAACATCAGTGAATCTCAGATTTTATGACATAGAATGTTTTCATTGTAACAAATGATATTTGACCATCCACACATTGAACCCTAGAAGCTAAATTAAAAATTTAACTTTCAGGGAATCTATGCAGTCACATACATTTGACATTCCTCTAAAATACCAAGTCAGAAAGAATGTGGAAAACATGGTAACCTATCCAGCTTAATTACAAAGTATGATTAAAAAACAATGGTGAATGTTTAAATTTAAAATAATGTGTTACAGTAAAAGACATACTGTCATTAATCCCCCTGAAAATATTTCTTCCAGCTTGTAGCAACCTTCCCCAACAGACATCATTCTTGCCATTTTCTAAAGGCGTTATGGAAGTCCTCTTTCATGAGTGCCTTTTGTTGTGCTGTCTTGGCCATCTTGTTGTGCTAAATTAATTCTAAATATTTACTTTTCATGGTCATTTTGACTTTGGCCAAGAGCTAAAGGTCTCATGGTGCCAGATCCAGTGAATAAGGTAGATGAGGACACACTGTAATGTTTTAACAAGGCTTATTTTCCATTGGATGTCACTTAACAGCAGCATTCATCATATTTTTGATAACACATCTTCAAGGTACTTACAGACACTCGTGTATTTCACTTAGCATGTCAAATTCCATGTTTTCCCTGCATATAACTCAAATCCATCCTCCTTTATGGCTGAATACTACTCCACTGTGTATATATAGTATGTTTTCTTTATCAGTTCATCTGTTGCTGGGCATATAGGTTGCTTCAATAGTTTAGCTATTGCGTATTGTGCACTTAGCATATTATTTTCAAGGTTCATTCATGTTGTGTAATGGATCAAGACTTTAGTTATTTTTATTGCTAGATAAAATTCTGTTATGTGGCTATATCATATTTTACTTACTTATCAGTTAATAGATACTTAATTGCCTTCTATTTTTTGCTATATGAAGAATGTTGCTATGAACATTTACAAGAAGATCATTATGGTTGCATTTCTCTTGGATAGATACCTAAAAATATAATTCCTAGAAATGAGTGGAATTGAAAGGAAAATTATATCTAACTTATTAACAATTGCCAAACTGTTTTCCAAAGTGGGTATATCACTTCATATTTCTTTCCATCAGCAACGTGTAGTGGTTCCTATTTTTCTGTATCTTCACCATCACTTGATATTGTCTGTCCTTCTTTAGTATTCTGGATATGATAAACATCTTATATTAAGTTTAGGTAGTGGGGGCCAGGGATTTAGCTCAGTTGTTGTGTTGCCTGCCTTGCAAGCACAAGGGCCCCAGTTTGATCCCAGGTACCATAAAAACAAAAAAACAAAAACAAAAAAAACCTCTTAGGGCCAGGGATTTTGCTCAGTGGTTCTGCCACCTGCCTCGCAAGCCCAAGGGTCTGAGTTCGATCCCTGGTAAAAGTTTAGGTAGTGGAACGGTTGACCTGTCATTGTGTTTGGACATTGTACTTTATAATATGTGAATAACATGAAAGGAGAGGTTATTGTTATGTTATAAATCGTTTGTCTTAAATATTGCAAATCTTCTGATATTATATAACTGATGAATATTCTATAGCACATATGATTTGAGCTCTTGCAACATGTCAAATTCATATCTCCCTATGTTATTTTTCAGAGAAGATTCTAAAATGTCAAGCCAAGATGTGCCTCAGTGTGAGGATTCAGATATACCTGATTTGAGTTTGGCCATACCAGATTTACAAGAACTAATGGCTGTGGAATCCTTGGGAGAAGAAACTAAAGATATTTCTTTGGATATACAGTCTTTCCTTTCTCAGGACATTGATTTAATCTTGACTGAAGATAAATCAGATATTCCGTGTGATATTATGGAGAACAGGTATATGATCTTTCTTCTCTTAATATTCCTCTATATGTTTTGAGGGAAATTTTTTATTTTTTTCACAATGCAGAAAACATTTTGGGTAGAGCTACCCGTTGTTGCACCTCTGAGTACTGAATAGAGTCTCTCTCTCTCTCTCTCTCTCTCTCTCTCTCTTTTTTTTTTTTTTTTTGTACTGGGGATCGAACTCGGGTCCTTGTGCTTGTGAAGCAGGTGCTGGAACCACTGAGCTAAATCCCTGGCCCTCTTTTCATTTTGAAACATTAACAAATCAGATATTTTGAAGGGAAACAGTAAATTATGATGAATACTTCATACTGGCACTTAGCTCTGTTAAATGATTTGTGTTTCTGATGAAATTGTGGGTATTAATTTTCAGGCATATATAATTCTGAGTTTTGAAAATTTATCCAAAATGTATCATGTTTATCCAAAGCATAATATTATGATCAGGGAAGCAATATGTGATTAAGGAAACATGTCCCTTAAACATGTCCACTCCCAACATTATCATTGCTTTTCATATGTATGCACTCTTTGGTAATATATTTGGTGTTCCACTATCTGTGGTCTTCTAAAAATGAGAAGGTAATGTAAAATGTAAAATGGCAATGGCAATGTAAAACCCTCCCTTCATTTTAAATCCAAAAATTGTTCTGAAAGTAGGGCAAAACTTTCTGCTTGGCACAGAACTGCAAGGAAAAAAGATGTCTTAATTTCCTGAAACTAGGAGATTGTGTGTGCTTCAGCAGAAATACTACTAAATTGGAGCCACAAAGGCACTATCATCAGCAAATCTCTGCCCACAAAAGCCTGAGTGACATGTAGAAGAGGAATGACTGCCTAAGTTTCAGCTTCATCAGCAGTGCTTACATTTATCTGTGTGCATGCTTTATCATCTTGTATTTCTATTATTTCCTTCCTTCCTTTATTGCCCACCCTAGAGAGACAAAGATCATGTGCGGGCTTGGCAAATCTTCTCACATAAATAGCTTCCTGAAAAACACAACTAAAAATGGGCCCTATGAACTTTAAGAATGACCCCAAACTTCAGTGTGGACCTTCAGACTTGAGGCAAAGGGAACTACTCTAGCAACTGAACTAGTCTTCATCCATCAGGGCACATCCTTAGAACCTTAATTGATTATGGCAGCTCTGTCCATTAAGATAATTATTCTGAGTTGCTTTAACATTGCCTGAATTGGCCAGCAAAGCCAAGTTCAAGTTCAGCTAGATTGACAAAGCCACAGGAAAGACCAAGGTTTTCTGTGTTAATGACCTATAAAAATTTAGTGGCATGTTGGGCTCCTGAAGTCAGTTTAAATAACAATAGTTAAAAATAATGCAACCAAGTGCTCCTTAGAGCACCTGGTTTTCTTAGTGAATGGTATCACGAAATGAAGTACCGAATAATTTCTCTGGTGTGAAAAACTAAAAGTGTAAATAAGGTTCAAGTGGTATAATTGTGAGTGTGAAATAGGAAGAAAATGGCTAAAGGGGAAGTAGGAAGGGGAGAGGAAAGGAAATAAGGGAAAAGAAAAAATGTGAAAAAATGGAAACAAAGTCTTGGTAAATAGGGAAAGGTGAAGTGGGTGAAGGAAGGGCAGGGGTATGGGGAAAAAAAGCAAAAACCAAGATCTGTCATGTAAAGGTACAAGTTCCCAGTGATAAATGCAACTGTATTGTTTGCTATGAATGTATCAGAAACTTAATGGGAAAAAAATGAAGTCAAGAGATGCACAACAGCATAGACTCAACATATGCAAATTTTTGCTCACTGTCAGCTGATGTATGTCACATTCTCAAATCTGTGAGTCTCATTTATTGATGAAAATTCAGACTGAATGCTTCCCTTAGGGAGGAATACAATAATTTTAAATATTAAGTTTGGAGTATATAGAATCTCATAAATGAAAGGCTGTAGGTCATGAATTACCTAGGTACATTGTTGTGCTGCTTTGCATCTCTTCTGATTGGGGCCAGTGACTTATAATCTTTATTTGGCACCCAATGGTAGAAAAACTTCCCGTGAACTGAGATTTTCCTGGTTTAAATGGTACTTGCTATTCAGAATTCTTATAGAATAGAATAATGTGAATTTTCTTACATACTTCTTTTCTGGAGCTTTTCAGGTTGAAAACTTAGGTGTGGAAATTGGAAGTGGGTCTCTCTAGATGAATTGTAGCTAGTGAAGTAGTACTAAAATCATCTAAACAGAAGTAGGGTTCATAGTCTGGAAGTGAAGTACGTGTAGCTAGAAAATTCCATGTGATTTATGATGTTTTTGTAGAAGACCTGCAATAATCTGTGCAGTTCATTACATTTGGGATATTTTCTCAAAGATTATATTCTATCAGATTATCTTTTTTCCATCCATGTTCATCTTGGTTAGCAGTAAAGTTTGTTAATTTCCCACTCCATTTTTAATTCAAGAGATGAAATGCACTACATCAGTGGAGATTTGATGGAACCGCAGTCACCTCTGTCTAAGAAGAATATGAATTACAGCTCCGATAACACCAGTGAGGTAAGCCGATCAATTCATATTTGAGACTTTATTGTATTTATATAGATTTTTCCCAAAGAAGAATGATAAATGACAATTGGCACTGATAATAGTATGTCTGGGATTCAAGAATACTTCTTACTTTTTGGCCTTTGGATTTATTTAGTGTGTATAGTTTTTATGTCTTGCTTTTCTGCACCAGAAGATGAAGAAGTTATATCTCCTCCTCCAGATTAGTGTCACCATTTATGTAATATTATGTGATGGGTTTCCTTTCTTGAATCAGTTAAAATAAGCAATATGAAAACATTCCTTTGTGCAGAATTATGCTTTGCTAATAGCTTTTTATGTATCCAAAGTTCTTCTTGTCACATTATCCCTCATTGTTACATAAAATCCCTTTTCTCTATGATAACAGTAGGTTTAGAATTTAAGTTATTGTATTTAGAGGATCTTGTTTATAATTCTTTTTCTTTCTTATCAGCCAATCAATTCTGAACTTCAAAATCTGATGACAATTGAAAATGAAACTTTACTCGATGTGCATGTTATGGCAGAAACAGATGTAAGATAAATTTTATAATTTTTATTTCTTTATTACACTATCCAACTATGAGGTCCTGTTCTATACATTTACTGATGAAGACTGCCGTGATAGCAGTTTATTAGCAGGAAAGTTATTGTGTTAAGTGAGTGAAGGAAGGTGGCTTATGGTATGCCATGCATGTCTGTCATTGCCCTATTCGTGCGGTTTTTTTCCTCTGCCAAAATATTCACTATTTACAGAAAATTCCAGCCTAAATTAGTAAATGTTTTTCAAATATTACTGTATTGGTTTGCATACCAGGTACACCAGAGACCCATATAAATGAAGTACAAATCCTTTTTTCACACATTTGCAAAGGGCGACTGATAAAAATAATTGACAATCCAGACACTGCTGTGCACCTGTCATCCCAGCTAACTCAGACAGGTGAGGTGGGAGGACCACTTAAGTCCTGGGATTCGAGACCGACCTGGGCAAAATAGTGAGACCCTTTGAAAAAAATTTTTTGGCAAATTGTTCTAAGCAAACCGTCACTTTTCTTGCCAGTTGCTTTATTTATAGATTATATAATTTATGGAATCTTCTTTTATTCCTGTCAAAGACTAGACTGTATGTTCTATTAAATGGGCTTTTTGGAGTTAAATACATCACATTACAGTGATATATGCATACCAATGTTTATAGCAACAGAATTCCTAATAGTTAAATCTTGGAAGCTGCCTCTATGCCCATCAGCAGATGAACTGATGAAGTGTGTTTTTTATATAAAATAGACTATTCCTATACCATAAAGGTAAACGTGTGTCATTTGTCAGAAAATGGATGTACCTTGAGACTATAATGTTAAGTGAAGTAAATCAGACACACAAGCTTAAATATGTCATGGTTTCTCTTATATATGAAACCCAAATTATAAATAAAGAGCAAAATAAAAGATAGATAATAAGAAGTACGAAGCTAGATCTTTCTCAAATGGGAAAAGGATCAAGAGATGGGGGGGAGAAGGGAAAGAAAGATGATGAAAAAAATAGAGATGTGTTATATACATGTATCACCTCCACAAAAGAAATGTAAACATTTTGTTTTGAAAACTTACTAATTTTAAGAACGTATTTTTTAATGTTATGTGCTATGCTGAAAAACAAATTTTTGAGATCTTGCTTCTTATGGCCAAGGTCACTACGGAGAGTATTTATGAGAATATTTTAAGCAATTTGTCAGACAGAAAAAAATATGACTGGATTAACAGTATCATTAGCACATTACCTATCTGCTTGATTTTCTTAAACATTATGTCGTATTTTAGGATACCTTTCCCTGTCATTTATGCTAAAAGTTTGTGGCCATGGGTGACATTTTAATGAAAACATTTTTAATAAAAGGAGTGTCTGTCCATTTTACATTGTGTGACAGACAAATATCTGAATCTTAAATGCATCTTTGAATAAAAATTAAAGTGGTAGCCAGATTTCACCTATACAGAGAAATCATGCATTTTGACTGTACTGAGTCAGGTGGTAAATAGCCATAATTGTAACTGGAATTTGTAAAAGAACCAAAAAATGGGGCATCTGTTTTTTTTAAGTAACAATCTCTTTATTAAGCTCTTCTTCAACCTCCTGTGAATAGCAAGAAAACGGTTCTTATCAGATAATTGCCCGTAATAGTATACTTACAGGTCCCTTTCTCTTAGCTTATTGTAAAGTCTTATAGTTGTTATTTTAAGATGAAATGCAAAACTCTTCTATTTTCCCATAACTCCTTTCTCCAACTAGGGAAGATCTTCAGATGGAGCCTTGTACTTTTGTGTCATTGATGAGCAAGTAATAGAGACCCTAAGGGAATCCATACTTTTTATATTGTTTAGCCAAGATGACTTGGAAGATGTATTCTTTTCTTTCTGCCAGATATACTAGGCATATTAGATAAGTCCTATCATTCAGGTTCAAATACTCACGTTCAAGTCTAATATTTGCTATATTTCTGTCTTGCATGAAATATTGCCCAACATTAGCTCAAACTAAATGACAACTAGACCTACATTGTGTACTTGGCACTCATTGCATTATGAATTGATTTTCCTTCTGTCTAAAAAGCAGTGAGTAAAGAAAATTTCAACTATTAGAAAACAAAATAAATGGAAACATTTCTTCCTTGATTTCATTAATGTTTCAAGGGATAAGCTTATTTTCTGGATCTAGGATTGAGCACAGCACCTTACACTTGCTAAGCACACACCCTCACCTCCAGTCCTAAGAGATAGGCTTTTTACTCCAGGTATATAACTTCATCTCTTCGCATCTAAGAGTGTTCTTTCTTCCTATCTAGAGTCTAAGTTTAATGAAAACTGAAGGAGAAATGAGTCTACTTGATGCCGATGGAACAGAAGGTATAAGAGAATATTTGTAGAAGGATTGGAAAATTTTATATCCTAGTCATAGCCCCATAATTACTATCTATAGATGACCCTGGAACATAATTTAACCTCCTTGAATAAGAGTTTATTCTTGTACAAACTTAGAATGATTCTCTTTCATGCTTCATAAATTCTTTTGAATGTTAAAGCAGATAACATATGAAAGAGCCCTGATAACTACCAAATAAACTTAAGGAAGACTATATTATGATGTCTCTGGTTTTAGGACAAAAATTATAATCAAAAAACCCCCAAAGGGATTTGCTATGATGAGTTTGAGTTTATCCAAAGTAGGTCCTTTGTTGTTCAGTAAACTTAGTCCTCCCTAGTTAGACTTAGATTTTAGGGAAGCATATTCTGAAATATTTGTATTCTAGTTGTTAATGCTATTCTTAAATCCAAAACAGTTTTTGATGTAATTACATGATATTATTCTCCTATGGAGAGATTATTCTAAAAAGATTGAAATAGTAGGTATAGTAGGAAAGTCTGACATTATCTTATAAGTGATAAGAGCATATTAATCATGGTTAAGATAACCCTCCAGTAGGAGATTTGGTTAGTGTGACTCAGAAGACTAGAAGAATAACCCTCATTCTGTTCTGGGATGAATTTAACAGCATAAGACATTAAATTATATTTTGTCTTAACCCATCTTCTCCCACATTATATATAATAAAGCACTGTCTTTCTACAGACTAGCAGGTGGTACAAGAAAAAAATCTCTCTAAATCTCTCTTTTCTCACTAGATGAGACTCTGATGAATTACTTTGTAGAACTTCAAGATTCTAGTGACCTCACTTTGGATGATCTGAAGAACCCATCAAATATCTTACCAGATTTATGTGACAATGATTATGTGTCCTTGAATATTCCTTCTCAACAATATGTTGTAAATCCTGTTGAAGACATTATGCCCGAGTTATGTATGGAAACCGATGAAGAGTTCAAGCTTCCTCTTTAGTATCTCTTTTCCCAGTTTTGTTGAAAAATCCTCTAAAGTTGACCCTTCTACTTGAATTTAGTTTGAGCTCCCTCCACTCTAACTTGCTGATAGAAAACAGATAGGAACCCCTATCTTTGTCTAGCATATTTCCCTTTATTGCTCAATTTCTGTAAGCTAAAAATGGGTTAAAATTTTTGCCTTGTCAAACTTAAGCAAAATATCATAGCTGAGATGAAATTCAAATCTCACAAAAATGATAGGAAATGCATCAAATTTAGGATTGAATTTAAAAAAACTTTTTGTTGTTTTAAAGCAAAATTTTTCCAACACTTTGTGTCCAGAATAGAAATTTGTGTTAAATAACACTACGTGCAGTAGCTTTCTAAGTAAATAGCAAACCTGTGTAGCTAGTTTCTGCTTAGAGTAAACAAATATGTCCTCCCAAGGTTTCTTAAGACAGATCTGGTTTTCAAAAACAAGGTTACTTATTAATTCTGAAAAAGTTGACTCTAAAGTTTTCCTGGATTAAGCAGGTACATTTATTTTACAATTTACAGTTTTTCTGTTACTTTTATCAACTATACAATTTTTAATCCTAAAGGAAGTATAATTTTTCTACGTGAAATGAAATTTTATACACCCGTCACTGTAAGAACTCTAAGAGATGCTCTATCCAAGTTATTCTCCCAAACCCAAAGAAACCTAAGAACAAGGTACTTATTAGAAATTGAGATGGCATATTACAGCCAACCATTTTTCAGCTATATCTCCCATCACTTCATCCATCTCTGCATTGGCTTCAAGTTCACTGTGGCATGTATGTAATTATTTTATAATTAATCATGCTTCAGAAATAACATGTTTTTAATGAACTTGGAACAGCTTGTTTATAAATTTTTCCTATGGCAGCATTCACATTTTCCCAGCCGCAGAGCATCAACCATACTTAAACTCTAGATCATCTGTTTAGTAGAGGAAACATTAAAAGACAGTTTTCAGAATGAATACAGAAACTTCAAGAAAAATTCTTTAAGAGATAAATTTGTGCCACTTTCCTACTCTTTTATTTTCTTCCACTAAACTCTATCTACAAATTTACTCATTTTATGCTTCTTTAGTTTCACAAAGTTTCACACGTACCTCCAGTGAACTCATTATCAAAGGAAAGGAAGGATTGGGGCCGGGGATTTAGCTCAGTGCTTCTGCTGCTTGCCTCGCAAGCACAAGGTTCCAATCCCCAGTACAAAAAAAAAGAAAAGGAAGGATTTTGTCATTGTCTTCAGTCATTACACCTTTTTTTCCATTAAGTTTATTTGTACTTTTTAGGTGTACAGTAAAGTTGCATTCATCATTGGGATCTTGTATGTATCTTTACATGATGTATCTTGGTTATTATTTTTTCCCCTTAAACAGAGTATGTTCACTTACCTATGATGGTTTATACACTTAAAATTCTTAAGAAAGCCCAGTCTTCACCTTGAGAATTAAGCATTTCTATATGGGAATGCGCCTAAAATAATTTCTAACTTGAAAAAATGTTGTTTTCACTGTTATTTCACATGTTACATAAAATTAATAAAGAACTTCGCATGCATTTCATAGTGTCTTTGTAGTAGATGGTGCTTTATGACAAAAAATTCAGCTTCTAGACTGCATGTGCATATATGTATGAAAATCTATATAGATTTATATGAATTTATGTTTATATCATTTGACCCCTTCGAAAAATCTCCTAGACTGATTTCTAATTGCATAGCCCTGTGCAAAGTAAAAAAAAAATCACAAAGCCATATATGTTACAGAGCAGTGTGAGCAAAAGTGAGTTGACTTGATAGGTGGTTCTATGACAACCAGAGATGTACACTTTGGGCTTAATCCTTACAGACTGTTTAAGAGTTCTAAAAGAAATATCATAAAATTATAATTGAGACTAACATAGGTGGATCTGGAGTTACAAAAAGGAACAAATAGGTAGGTGTGTGCATGTCACAGTAGTGCACACCTATAATGCTAACTCTTTGGGGCTGAGGCATGAGGATGACAAATTGAAGACCAACTTGATCAATTTAGTTTGAAGAGTTTTAAAAATCTAACATTTGTAAGCCTGTCAAAGGTATTGTTTTCCCAGGGCCCATAGACTATACTAAATGAGTAACAAAATAGTGAATGTAGTGTTGTACATTCAGACAAAACCATCTGGCCTAGAGCAGATTTTTGACTTGTTTTCTCCTTTATTATCAATGCCTAGAATATAGTGCCTCAATATATGTTTGTTGAATGACCAACTGGCCTAGGAGACTTAATGTTTAACAAATGAATATTGAGCCTGAGCTTTTCTTTGATTTGCTAAAAGTTTTTTCAAAACTCATCACCACATTGCTTTAGAAAACCTACAGAATAAAAAGAATCACTATGTTAAGAGGTATGACTATCACAATATAATTTTGGTAAACTGTCCTGATGCCTAATCACTAAGTTCTCTGAGTCAATTTCTAAGAATATAGGTTTCACTCTTTGAAAGAGTCATGGTTCTTTCTCAGACACACAAGTACCCATCTGCTTTCATTGACATTCGTATCAGGGTACATGTCTGAGAAAAGGTGAAATGCTCCTTTTAGACAAAAATTTGATTACAGAAAGGGGTGTAGCTTCCCCCTAAATTAGAAACATTATATGAATTCTGAAATATATAATGAAATTTATTTTAATATTAACTTTCTTAGTGAAGGCTTAGAAGCTACAAACTGCTGCACCTAGAATTCCAAATTATGAAGTTTCCTCTAATACAATGGAAAATTCAAATGGCTTACCTTATTTTACTTGGACTGTACTCAGGGCATTGTCCTTCAAAAATAATTATTGGTAAATGTGATTTTAGCACAATGGAGAAGGAGCTGACTTTTCCTTTTTCTTTAGTATCTTTTCAAGACAGAATATCTTAAGTAAAATTTACTTGAATATTTGACTTTTGTGCTATTGCCAAAAACAGTAGAATGAACGGTATTAAAACTCGTCAATTAAGATGATAAATTACCATTTTTATTGCTCTAAATCCTTTTATTTAACAATATTGAGAGCCTGTTTTGTGCCAAGAACTGGAAATAAGGAAATGAATAAGACAAGATCCCAGCCATTGTGGATCTCACTCTTTTAGTGAAGTCAAATTAATCATACAACTATGAAATTTTGCTGAGATCAAAAAGGAAACCTGGAAAATTCATTTTGCTGCCTTGTTTATTATTTATCCCTCTTAACCAAATTAGAAGTTACAAGAGCAGAGATTTTTTACTTTTCTCCTGTATTATCAATGCCTAGAATATAGTGCCACAATACATGTTTGTTGAATGACCAAATGGATATATGATCAATGAAGCTATCTATTGAGGAAAAAAAGAAAAACAACCATTTCGTAGTGCTTAGGCAGAGCTACAAAATTTGGGACAAAGGATTATCTTTTCATCCAAGGGAATTTCTGAGGTGATGCTCAGCTCATTCTACTTAGAACCAAGAAATATGCCTGAGGCAAGTGCTTGAAATAAAGACAGAGGCCATTTCACTTCCTATGGAAAGTCTGAGCCTAACCTACTTTATTTTGGAAGCCACTCACAAACTAGCCAGAGGGGTATAACAAATTTTGTCAGAGAGGCTCAGAAACTTGAGGGTCTAATATATTTATTATTTGGAATATTTCTCTTGATGGCTTAATTTTAATTTTATGAGTTTTATTATATTAATGGATACCTAACAGAAAAAAATTTAAAAATAAAATATTGAATTTTTAATATTTTTTTAATTTTCAACATCAACTGTTTTTTGGTGTACAATGTCTAAAAAGTAATACCAAATAAATTTCTATATGAACTACAATGAAAATACAAATAGCACTCTACAAAAAAAAAATCTTATCACACCTAAGGCAGTCTTCACACTTGGCAAGGGCATGTTCCATACACACATATTGCTCCCTCTCACAGCACATGTGTTTTGCTTTCCTGGCCTTTTTGTAGAGCATATTTGACATCTCGCTGGTGTTGAGGTTTTATTAGGAGATTCTTGTTATATTACACATTTATAGTTAACAGGAACATAAACTATCAAAATAAAGTATAAAATTCTTAACATGCATTGAGCATTTAGAATAAACATCAGCATTTTCATATTAGCTGTGTGCTTACTTACAAGACCTAAAATATAACATCAGAAATAAATTCCTATATGAACTACAGTGAATATACCGATAAAATTCTACAACAAAAATAATATTTGCTTCAATTGTCATACCCAAGGAAATCCTCACACATGACAACTGTATGTTCCATGCACACATTTCATCTACACTGATAACACATGGGCTCAGCTTTCTTTCCTATGCGGCAGGACATCCTTGTCACCTCTCTTCCTACTTTGGCAGGAGCTTCCTACTATAATGTACAATGCACACATAGCAGGAAAATAACATCAATGAAATAAAATTTCAAATATGTAATGAGTGCTTAAAATAGACATCAACATTTTCACATCAGCTGTATACTTGCTTAAAAACCTAAGAGATAGCATCAGAAAGAAAAACCCATGTGAACTACAACTTAAATACAAACAAAAGTCTACCACAGAAATAATCTTTGCTTCAACAGTCACACCCAAGGCAATCTGCATATGCGAAAAATACATGTTCCATACACAAGTATTGCTTACACTAGTAGCACATATGTTTTGTTTGCATGTCCTTTCTTGCAGGGTAAAGTTGGCATCCTTTTGGTTTTCCTGTTGTCATAGTAGGTCTTTATGATGTTATGCCTGCTTGTTTACCTGTCAGCTCACCAATGTGCTCCACAATTTTTTTGTGTAGTTCCCTGGCCAGAAACTTCTTGTTTTTCCTCTGTTGTAAATGATCTCTTATGAGTTCCAGTCCCAATTCTCTAAGAAAATTTCTCCATGGTATTTTTCATTTATTTTTTCTTTGTAAACTATCAAACTATTTATACAAAACATGTTTAGGATTGAGTAGAAAACACCCATTGGCCAATGCTTTCTGTTTTGAGTGACATTATAATGGCTGCATAACTCACCAACATCTACTGTGC